TGTGTGTGTGTGTGTGTGTGTGTGTGTGTGTGTGTGTGTGTGTGTGTTTTTGTTTCTTTCCAAAGCCTTGACACCAAGGCTCGAATCCAATCTGTTCAGAAATGCAACATAAAACGGTCACATGTACATTGCACAATTAAAGTGGATTCCTCCACGCAGCCAAGGACTCGCCATACAATCGCTGCATGGTTTCACTGTCTTAAGTTCACCGGCAGCCGGCCCAAGTGGGGAGTGAAGTGATGTCTTTGCACGTCCTTGAGAAGCGTTATTGTGATCGGACATTTTGTGAAAAGAAAACATTGATAATAATAATGATATTATTAATAAAAGCAGAGGAAGACCTGGCGCCCTTGCGACCAAAGAAATTAATTACGCTCCACATTTTATTTTCCCCAGCGTTTAATTTAATTTAATTTGAACAGGGGTACAGCAGCTTCACTATTGATGTCACCTTATTATTTAGTAACTGGAGCCTCTTTGAAATGTGCACTGATGAATCCAGCTTCCTAATTAAAGGTGCCATTCACACAAAAAAAAGATTTAATAGCTGGAGCAAGCATCTCATTTTTTTTAAAAGCACGTTCTTAATTTTCCAAAAGAATTCTGCGTTTGTTTTCTAATCTTCCGTGTTTGTTTAGTGACAGTTTTGTGCGATTTCAAGTGTTGATGAATTTGTTTGGGAAAGGAACTTCAAGAACTTCAAGTTAATCAGTTTGTTCTAAACACGGGCTTCTTTACATCCTCCACTCCTCCTCTGGCTCCTCCCACGTATTTACATGCAGTTTAATGGGGATCTTCAGGTCTGAATGCATGGTTTTGATTCTACACAGATGGCTCTGCCATCTGCATTTTACCCCTTTTGAAAGGAGCATAAAGAGCTACGCGCTAACACAGGCAGAAACATTGCACTAAAAGTAAAGAAACACTTGATTTACCCTCGGCACCCTTTGGCTGACTGCTTTCATTCAGACATGTCAACAGTCAATTAATGCTGCCTTTCGTCAGCTGCTTTGGGTGCATCCGCACAAATCTGTTAGTTTTCTCACTTGAAATAAAGGAGACAGTATAAATATTGAGGCTTCGTGCCTGAAGTTGTTAATCAGTTTGGCGACAGAGCACACAGAAGAGAAGTGTGTGTGTGTGTGTCTTTTTATTACAGAGAAAAGCTGCTGCCTCAACAGACAACAGGTACTTAAGAAAGACTTCATGTGTTCCTGAGGATGAACACAGAAAACAAAGGATTTGATTGGATTATTGAGGTTAAAGTTACCTCATATTACTGTCCTCATTAACTGCTGTGGGAGAAGAGGTGATAACAAAACGATGTCAGCGATGTCAATATGATCTCTCATCACACACCGTTAAGGATCCGTCTCCTCTGCCTCTTTTATTAAAAAGACTGACAAGGAGCAAGTTATCCTCTGTTAAACTCTGAGGTTAGAGGACGTTCACAGGTGAGCGTGTCGATAGGTAGCCGTCACGGAGTCGAGCTCGCTGCTGGGAGAAAGCGAGAGGACTAAATTTTTGTGTGTGTGTCAGTGTGGATTAACCCATGGCTAAAGCCAAGCGTGTTTACACGCGTACTGACACTGATTTGTTTTGACAAAAGGAAATGCCATAACAAAGCCAAGCAAATATAAACCGTGTGTGCAGTGGGAATAAGCTTTAGTGAAACAGCTTCACGGTATTACAGGTGTCTCTAACCGCCATCCAATCTCTCATTCGCCTTCAAGGGAAACATCACTGCAACCACACCCGTTCACCACGAACAGTGTCAGATCTTTTCTGCTTTCATACCATGTTTATAAATATTTAATATTTAGGAAATAATATTTTGTGTTTTTTTTTTTTTTTATCCAGCTACGCTTTGTGCTACATTCGGTGCCCCTCTGAATACATAAATGATGCATGCTATCCATGTTTCTTCTTTTGTTAAAGATTGTATATGAAAGTGTGTGCCGTAACGAGCCCCGCTGAACCCTCCTCCATCACTTCCTCCGCTCATACCTTACCTCACCCTGCCCTCGCTGCTGAATTATTGAAACGACGACATGAAAGTTAATTTGCTAACTGTCTGTGCTTTAGCTGGCTAAACTAAGCCGAGATGCCCTTGTCTCTGGAGGCGAGCGAAGGAAAAGGGAGGGCTGGATGGGGCAGCCTGGGGCTAAATGTCAGGTGTGTTTCCTGGGGACGAGGCAGTGGGAGAGATCTCCTTGATGTGTGGACATTGAGCAAAGCACTAGTTAGGCCGCACAAGGTTAGGGCCGGGAAGGGGAAGAAGATCGCAAAAAGATGCATTAGATCCCCTGCAAGTTGCTATATGGTGGAAAAACAGTTTATGGTTTATTTCTATTTTAATGTAAAGTCACTCAGCTTTACATCATGAGCCGCGACATTTAGTCAGCAGTCAAAGTGCAGGTTACATGTTCCTCCTCACACTCAGACAGATCTTCTTTTCATCTCATGTAATTTGAATCAGAATACGTTATCGTTAAATTTCATCTGCGGACGACTTCAGCCGAGGAAGGAGGCGAGTGAAATGTGTTGCAGAGGAAACGCGAGCCGTGGAGTGGGCTGCGTGGTTGTGGTTTGTCTTGTAAGCATCTCATCTTTTATTCCTGAGTGACATGTGTAACTAGTGCAGAGATCACAGGGAAGGAATTCAGGTTTACAGTATCCAGGGAGGAAAGAGTTGAGGCCCTGACCTTCAGTTTGACACAGCTCTCCTGTACAGTACAACACCCCCCCCCCCACATGACTCCTTTATCTACCTGGCCTTCCTCGGGCTTTGCTCCATCAGCTCGCAAAAAAAAAAAGTCCCCTCCTTCACCGAGCTACACTTACTGTTTATGACAGAGTAACACAAGGTGTCCCCTGAAGCCCGGTTTGAATGAGTGTCTTTAAATAATGCATTACAGCCGGGGCAGGTGCCCATCACTGAGCGATAGAGCCCCTGAGATCACACCAGGGTCTGCCATGAAAATTTCAGTGCATTGCCGCAATGCTCATGGGAATGTCTGTTCGATCCTGTACAGTGAGGACAGGGTATATAGGAGCTGATGCCTGCCGCTGGGTATCTCACACTGCAAAGAGGACCTCATTTCTATATTTTACACCAACAGACGTCTCACTTCACCCAGTACCAGGGAAACGTAAACGCCACCTGAACAGCTCAGGCTCACGGTTACTTCAGTGAACGACCAAAAAACACAAAGCTGAACATTTTAAATCCTATTTTTGCCCTCTCATTAGCCAATGAGCGCAAACCATACAAAAAGATCAAATGCAAGTATCGTTTGACTGGAGAAGTTTCGATACTACCCACACTCACACACTTTTACAGTTTCTGAGTTTGTTTTACTCACTAAAGTACATCCAAACAGTGTTTTCGTGTTCATGGATGGCGCCCCCTTCATTCCTATAAAAGTTGCTCTCTGGGCGTATCCTCGTAAAAACAAAAAAAGCTTCCTCAAAGATCTGCGTGTTTGGGCCGATAGAGCGTGCACACGTGAGTCCTCCAACCGAGCCGGGTGAAAGCAGGGGAGTCCATGACTTCCGTGGGCCGAGCCGGAAATGTTAGTGGACCTAATGGATTCAATTCGGATAATAAAAATATCTGTTTTGGGGGGTTGTGACACAAAAAAATGTCATACCTGCTACTTTTCCCCCAAAAAAATGATTTGGGGTACATCCCATTATTATTCTAGAAGTTGCAATACCCCACGTGGCCACTACACCAAAATTGGGAGACAACTCCTCTATGTAAAATTTACAGTTAATATTCTCCCTGAAAAGCATTTATTGTGAAAAGCTCGATAAACTTTTTCATCATAAATATGTAATTTGCTGATTGGATGTAAATGTATATAAAGAATGGACATCGCGTTCACTTTTCCAGACAGAAAATGTTCTTTTCACATTTTCAGACAACACGTAATTAAACGTGACAGACACTGATCAGTTTCACTTAACGATACCAGGAGAGTCACTCCATTTGAGATCAATATTAAAAATTTACAACAAGCAGTTTGCTCCTTCTTGTGACTTCTCACAATCCTTTTTCTGCACACCGGACCTTTAAGTAGTGACGCCTCTTTAAAGAAACACTGACATACACGCTGTAATTAAAAACTCTGTCGAACTATAAATCCTCTTTTATTTTTTTCAGTGTGTTGACACTACGTAACTGAAATGGGTGATGATTCAGTTGTATCTGATGTAAGAAGGAGAAACGGAAGAGGCGATAGCATCTAGTGTCTAATGCGAGTTGAAACTGGTTTGGACCAGCTGTAGCAGATCGTTTTCTCACATCAGAGCAGAGGGTTGTCAGGACATTGCAGTGAAATTCAGTGGTATCTTTGAGGAGATGATGAATCAGGTTGCTCAACTGTGGCTCATTATTGATTCATTCAGTATCAACTCAAACATCATACCTCTGTGTCTGCTCTGGCCTTGATGCATTTAATCAGCATAAAAACAGTCGCCCTCCGTACATGAAAAAGCACGTCCACTTTGTGTCAGACACGGAGACGGTTGCATACAGATGATTTTGGGCTGTGATGTCTGTCCAGACTGGTCCGAGTGAGAGGTCCATGTGTGTCTTTCTGCAGCTTCATGTGTAGTCCGATGAGGACTCTGCAATATATACTAAATATCTGAGATGATCCTGATGGGTTTAGTTGCAGACACAGAAGAATAAGAGGACAACATTGTCGTTATTAAGTTGTTCCTCGGTGGAGACTTGAGTCGGGGCCCAGCTGCTGTAGACTTGATCACCTTCTTGTCTCACCAGGGATGAGCGATAGCCGAGTTAAGGCAAAGATGGTGACAAATAACAAGGATAAGTCAGCTGTTAAGAGAAAGAGAGAGCCGTGATCTGGTCCCCCCCCCCAAAGAAAATCACACTGTGAAATGTAAATGGTTCAATTTTAGTGGATCGGGTTCAGAGCAACTTTCTGCCCTTTTATGCTTCTTCAGTTAAGACATGCCTTTGTTCAACATTTGGGAAATACACGTATTTGCTGAGAGTTAGATGAGAAGATTGATACCACCCTGATACCTTTACGTCAACAGGACACTGTTAGCTTAGCTTAGCATAAAGTTTCAAAACCGCTCTGTCTGAAGATAACAAAATGCAACAACCAGCACCTCTTAAGCTCATTAATTAAGAATTTAAGAAACGCTTGTTTAAGTCATTTTAAAGACAGAAGTGTAAAAACAGACCCATTGTGCGTCTGCGAGGGGTTATGTGTTGGACCGTTTCTTAGCCAGGAGCACTGACTTCATGGAGTCTGCTCATCTTGTTGCCAGGCAACCAGACTTTTACTTGCGATGTGAAAACATTACATTAACTCTTTGTATCAACAAATCACACAGAAAACTGTCAAAACTGGCAGAACTTGTCGTATAACAGTCAATTGAAAATAAATTATTTGTTATAAATAATAATTATTTCTCGTTGCATGACTGAAGTGTTCAAGTGGCCAATAGAGTACAGTCGGCATTATTCTCCTTTCAATGACAGTTGCCACCATTGATACATGCTGTGCTGTTTTCAGCCATTTCAAGGAGAAAGTGCCATTTTTTTAAAGCTTGATAAAGACATTTTCTTTTTGATATGAACCCACTGAGAGTCAGTGATGTTGGTGTTTTAGCACAATGTTTGTTTGTTGCAGTGTCTCAATTCGGATACCTCCGTTGCACTTCCATGTAGTACGCTGTGTACACTATATGTACTTCTTTGCGCGAGGTGGACAATCTCAGACCGTCTCAGCCATTTTCACCAGTTTGGTGGTCCGTCCCCTTCAGCTTCGTAGCCAAGATGGCAACTATTGAGGGTGAGAAGTGTTCCGCCTTCCACACTCAAACGTTTTGACCGTCGTGAGCACACCATCCGGGTACTCTCGGTGCACTGCATTTTGCCATACTTATACTTCTGCACTCAGAGTAGCAAGTGTAAGTACGCAAGAACACAAATTGAGATAGAGCTTTTGAATCAAATCTTGTCAGTATGTGAGATTTAACTCCAATTAGATGCTCATATTGCTCTACTCTATGTCTGCCGGTTATCTGTTACAACTTGATAAGCCAATATATTTTTAATGACTATGTTTCTGTGAGTTTGTTTAAGTAATATTTGTTATATCTGATGCATAAACAGGCATCAGCATGTGCGTGAGGCCTAAAAATAACAGGAATTCAACAAGCAGCCCGGTGAATCCGACTTCAGCCACGTCTGAGGATATTTTTCGTCTCCTCTGTCCGTGTTTCCCTCGGTGTCTACACTGTCTTGTTTTCAGCCTCTGTGCCTCAACGGCAGAGTTCCTAAAACCACAGGGATATGGCCGAGTGCCACGGAGGCTCTTTAGCCCAGAGCTGCAGAGCTTTACATCACACATTTACAACCCCTCCACAGTGTATAAGATCCCCAAACTGTGAAATCTTGTTTATCCAAGCGCCATCTAAAATGACACCGTGATGATTTTCTGCCAGCTGTGCACGTGTGTGGGACTTACGTTGACGGGCTACTTGGAATGAAACAAGTGTGGCACATCTTAAGGATGAAGAAAGAGCATGACCTTGTTTTTTATTCATTTTGTAAACTGACACCTTTCTCTCTCTCTCTGTGTTTTCCAGGTTAGCTTTATATGTGTACGAGTATTTGCTGCATGTCGGCGCACAGAAATCAGCACAGACCTTCCTGTCAGAGGTAAGACGTTCTTTCAGTTTGACTTCCTGTTTCTAAAGCGTGAGTGTGGTTCCCCCTCTATTGTATGACCAGGAATGGAATTCACATTATAAGTTGCTCTGGGTTCAAGCAGCTGTTGAGCAATCTCACTGAAAATCTAAGACAATACTAATACATCATGAGCCAAGACTTGTTTTTTTATCTACTGCTGCTGAGCAACAGCAATGTTCTCTTGAGTGTTTATTAATTTGGGACAATGTAAACATGGCATCGGTTGGGCTACTAAATATGATTACCCGCCCTTCATTATTAGCTCTAATTTGTCATCATAAACATTACTTAATTAGAGCAGTTTGACATATTGTGAGCATGTGTTGCTCATTTGATAAGCAAAGTAAAAATCAAGTTTACCTTTTAATATTTGAACCAAACACGACCATGTGTCGCAGGTCTGCTGTACTTATTAGTCTCATTTTAGGCCCCGAACTGTTGAAGAGGTAATGTCTCTAATGTGTTGCATCCTCTTCCTTAATGGACATCCTTCCTGCTAATGGTCCCGTGTCCAGGCCGTCTCCTGTACAACACCTCTCCTGCCCCACTGGCTTTATTCAGCTCCACTTAATACACTCCCCAACACTGAGAGGGTTTTAATAGCAAGCAAAGGCAGGTCCATATTATTCAACTTTAATACTGACAGTGTTTATCTCTCATTTCATCTGGTGAGCTCAGTGTAGAGTCGCATAGAGATACTGATGCATCTGCATAAACTCACACTGCACACCCAGAAGTGAGAGTCTAGTGAGCAACAGGCGGTTCAGCTGATCATCTGTAAGAGTGCTAGCGAGACGCTTTGGTTCATTTTAAAGTTGAAATTAGTTTCTCTACCGGTTTCTTGTAAAAGGCAATGTTTTATCTAGAATTAAAGGAATAGGTCAGCATTTTAGGAAATGTGCTCATTTGCAGTTTTAATTATTCTATACCACTCTCATATCTTATATATGTATATATATATATGTTTATATATATTTAATATGAAGCTAAGGCTAGCCGGATTTAGCTCAGCTTAGCATAAAGACTGTAAACAGGGTGAAACATTTAGCACTGACCAAGTCAGTTAACATATTATATCCTGTTACTTTAATTCGTACAAACACTGAAGTATAAAAAACGTTTTTTGGGGCGTTTGTCCCGGACTTTATCTCGGTCGAGCACAGTTACTTCCTGGAGTTTTGTCGTCACCGTGAAGTAGCCAGGTAACCAGTGCTGACCCCTTTTTTTCCAGTCTGTATGCTAAGCTAAGCTAAGCAGCTACTTGCTGTAGCTCCATATTTATAGTGCAGACATGAGAGTGGTTTACATTTTCCCATCTGTCTCTCAGCAAGAAAGGGAATAAGAGTGTTTCCTAAAATGTCAAACTATTTATTGAATGGGTTGCACCTTTAGAGTTGATAGTGATAGAGCTTTTGTTAGGTTTGCCTATAACTGCTTCCAACCACAACCATTTATTTTATGTCTTACTTGGCCTGGGCCACAAAACAAGCTGTAAAAGAACTGTCACTATCAATGCGATCATTTTAATCCCTAAAAAAAAAGTCATATCTCTTCCAGTTGAGTTGAAAAGATTTTTGCAAAAATAAGAGAAAACACATAAAAAAAAAAGAACATATCCCAAAATCACTCTTGCTGGGACGTGGATGTATCAATCAGACAGTAATTGGTTGCCTTAGTTTATAGTGTGCAGGCAGGCTGCCGGCAGGGCGGGCAGTGCTGCTGGAGGCCGTCCCAGCTGCCAACAACCACGGGCGGACGTCTAAAATATGAAGCAAAGCTGGGGGGAAAGCAGCACAGGGAGATCAAGTGGTGGGGCTGCAGAGAGCCTCGCTCATTGCAGAGCCCTTGTGGGTGAATCTTCCCTCCCGGAGATTGAGCATTATTGGTGAGCTGCTGGAAAGGGGTGAAGTTCTGGGTCGCAGGCAACCGGAGGCACACACAGAGACCCAAACACACATTTAAACGGCCTCCAACAAGAATTTAAGCAACATGTCCACAGATGGGGATTAGAACAACATACACGCAAACACACACACACACACAAACAATCCATGTCCACGAGGCATGCATGCAAAGACTGCTAAGTCAATTTGACGCCAGTTGTCTCAAAATGTTGCGCCTGCAACCGTATATTGCTAAATGATTTTGTTTATTTCAACCACAGCATCGTTTGTGTTTTGCTGTCTTATACGGTCGGAGTCGGTGTATTTGGATTAGACTAACGGTAAACAAACACAGCAGCTTGACCGTTCACCTTTTCAGCTTCATGCAGCAGTAGAATGTACTCTCACGAGTATTTGAAGAAAGGTTGCACACGGAGATGATTTGTTATACTCATCTACATGTTCGGTTACCCTGTTCGCACTAAGTCAACGTTCTCCAAATCTTTCTTAAAGCACACAAAACCTGATCACCCTCTCTTGGCTATGATTTCATTCCTGTAATCCTTTCGTTTCGTCGATCATCTGCCGTTTTTTTGCTTCTGTTCCTCTCTATTAACCTCCTGTTAAACCTCCTCACTGTTTATTCTCCTGCTTGTTTGTCCACGCTACAGTGGCTGAGTGCCTTCAATGAATGCAACTAAAGAAAGCGCCTGCAAATGGAGAAAAAATATCTTCGAAACAAATTAATGCAAATAAATATAACGCACTAAATTCAGAGAGATACACATGCATAAGGAGCATAAATGCACCGCAAATATAGACGCGCTGCAAATCAAATACAACACAATAGAAAATCGTTGAAAGCTTTGGTCTGGAAAAAGCAAGTAAGAGGACTATTGCTTACTGATTATCGATTAATCTGCCATTTAATCTTGATTAATCATTTTGTCTCTAAACTACCGCAAGATAGAAAAAACATACATAATTTCCCATAACCCCAAGGCGATGCATTGAAATAGCTTGTTTTTTTCAATTTGTATTTGTCTAAAACCAAAAAAAATGCAGTTTATTAAATAAATGATGAAGAAAAGCATCAAATCCATAAACTTGTACACCCTTTACTCGAATTCTTACTTAATAAAAATGACTAAAAATTACAAATCAACTATCAAAATAGTAGTCTGTTGATAGAATAATAGATTAATTAAAATAAACATTGTTTTTATTTTAAAAACAGTTCAGGATGTCACGCTAAACGTGTTCTTTGCAGTGCATAGAGATCACTCAACCTCAGCACCTATGTACCTCTCAGTCTCTTTCTCTCACACACACACACACACACACACACACACACACACACACACACACACACACACACATAAATGTTTCAATAGATAAGGGACTTCTATCCTCGCAGGTAAACTGAAGGCCCACACACTCACACCTGTTCATCTAATGAGAGCGCTATCACCTGGACTCTCCTACCTCAATTAGCCTCTGTTCCTCTTCAGTGAGGAGCACACACACACACACGCGCACACACACACACACATGCTCATATTTATTGTATACACACAATACACTTCTGTCCCCGAGAGGACTTTGCCACTCTATGCTTTCCTGCACAGTGCAGCACTCAGCTCTTTAGCAGCATTAAATCAACAAGCCCAACCCACCTACGGCACATCACATCACTATAAACTGCACTGGGGAAATCTATAGAATAGACACTTCAATAGAAATCTGAAGCTAGGATCTACTGTATGGAAAACAAAGACAAATCTTGCTGCTGTCATGCTGTCCTCACAGACTGGTGAATCACGTATGTATGACTATGTGAATGTGTGTGTGTCAGGTCAGTAGGACTGTGTGTGTGTGTGTGAGAAGCAGGCAGCAGGGTCTGCTATCTCTCATTGGATCTTATCTCGGTGTCCAGATTCAGGCAGGAGCTCTGCTGGTTTGTGAGGGCAGTGGAGAGGGCCGCTGCTTCAAGACAGCCACAGTTTCTTATCCGGGAACTCAGCGCTGCACTGCACTGTCGCTGCGCCGCCCGTCGGCTTATTTTTCTGTCCGACTATCGCTCTGTCTGGCTAAAGTTGGGAGGACAGTTGAGCAAAATGATTACGATATGCATAAAACATGCTGCGATGTCTAATTTTTAATTTCCCTCCTCTGTCTTCTCCCCTCCATCCTCTATTGCGCTTCTCTCTTCATCTCAGATCCGATGGGAGAAGAACATCACACTTGGGGAACCTCCAGGATTTTTACACTCATGGTGGTGGTATGTACATGTTGATCCTCTTGCTCTTGACCACACACACACACATGTTATTTCAACAGCTTACGTTCATACTGTAGAAGTACTCTGAAAGAATGTGCAGGGGTGGAGCGGGACAGTAATTGCAGGGAATGCTAAGTACATCATCTCACACATGTTTAAGTGCTGTTATTCTGGCGTCTCTCTGATTGACAAGTGAGGTAACTTGCCTTGCTTTTTTATTTAAGCACTTTTTAAACCTCCCGTCGAAGTGTGCACTGTCCAATCAAAGTGAAAATCAGAGACAGATCCTCTGTCACAGTGGTTCTGACACTGGGGACCCTCCTCCAGATAAAATCCAGGCAACATATCGTTGTATGTTGATATGGTTTCGATTGCGGGCGGTGGGCTACAATTTGAGCCCCCTTTAGCCTACATGTGTTTACATTTTAGGGAGTTGGCACCATTGAAAGTATGCCAAATTAGCAATTAGTACATCTTGTTTTTCAATGTACAGACAACTATCAGTGGGTTACTTTGATACTGAAGAGAACTTAAAAACGGGGTTATTCTCAAGCAAGTTCTGACAAGGAGTGTGTTTTTTTCCCTGTGATTTGTAAGTGGACGTTTGTTTGCCGTGGCCATCAGGGGTAATGACATCCTCAGAAAGCACAAGTCACACTAAATCAATAAATATATGTATCATGTCTGTCTGATTTCCTCGAGTTATGACTCGAGATGAGAGGGCCATCTTTGACGCATATAACTTCCTGTTGTTTTTAGAACACCACCTTGTTTTTTCACCTCACCCATCTATCGCTTCACGTCTGACCCGCCATGCCTCCTCACAGTTTGAAAACCTTTACTCCGTCGTCAAGCTTCTTGAGACTTTTTAACCTTATGCTCCATTTAACAGAACACGGCTCTGACGTGGGTTGTTCCACTTTTCTTTCTGCATCCTTAAACAAATCTGTCAGATCTCTTAATGCTAGATGAAACGAGGACAGTGTTTTCTATCTGGCTGGAAGAAGGGGGTCAGTGGGCTTAGGGCCTGACACGTACACTGTGCATGTCTGAATTAGAAGGAATGGGAACACCCAAATGTAGGATTCCCCTCTTTCCAGTTGTCAGGCCAAGAGCCAGAAAACCCAACTTAAAGGCAAGGAGGCGAGCAGGCAGGCAGGGATGAGGAAGCTGGGCAGCTGGAAAGGATGCAGACAACGAATCAAGCAGCCAAACAGACAGGGAGGTTGAGAGGCTGAATCCTCAGCAAGGCAGCACTAGAGGCAAAGAGAGCCAAGATAAGAGGTTTGACAGGGCCCGCTTTGTTTGTCATTCATGCTATCCTGCTCATCCCTAAAGCCCCCCGGCCGGCCCTGTGTAATAAACCCGGACATGCGGCTTCATTCATTCATCCTCTCTGGCTCCAGTGTGTGTTGTAATTGTGGAGCCTGTTGACATGGTTCATAATAGTCCTTAAAGAGCCTGGCTTCTCTCAACCTGACAGCTCTCAATTGGACAGCTACCAGTAATGCTGACAGAATGACATACACAAACATACAGCGCAGCGTAGGTTTGCTCTCGCCTCTGCCTGAACCAATAAGAGGGCTCAGGGAGACTGCCCCAGTGTGTGTGTGTGTGTGTGTGTGTGTGTGTGTGTGTGTGTGTGTCTGTGTGTGTGTGTGTGAGAGAGAGAGAGAGGGAAACAGAGAGGGAAGCCGAGCGCTCCTAGTGTGTGTTCTGACTGCATTGAAATATTTCAGCAGAGTGTGAGAGATGACCTCGTGTGTGCGTTGAGCAGTTGGAGGGTAGGCTGATGATTAGCCGGGCTGAGCGGGGCAGGACTCCGGTCTAGTATGACCTCGCTGAGGGGCGTCTGTCTGGGCCACACAGCACGTGGACGCGGAGACTCACTGGGGGGGTGGGGTCCGGGGGTCGGCTGCCGGGGGAGTAGGGGGCGGGGGGCAGGCGGAGTCCTCTGTCCACCCCTACACCCCCCCGCCCCCCCCCCCCCCCGCCCCAACCTCCAGCCTCCCCCCAAAACAAAAGCTCCAGATGGTAGGAAAGCCACCAACCTCCCTCATCCCTCACCCTTCGCTCCCCCTCCCTCAACCTTTGTCTGGAGGCCTGTCCCTTTGTTTGCGGAAGAGAGACCCCCGAACGGATTAACTCTTTGCATTCCAGCCTCTTTTGTGTTAAACAGCCAAATCTAAGACCCCGACCCCGCCGCCACCCCTAGCCCCGCCCCCGTCGTCCCTTCCTCAGCACCTCACTGGGGTTTTCTTCCCTCCTGTCTCTGCTTCTGTGGCTGTTTCCTGTAGGATGGCGTTGGCGGGGGGCTTCAGAGTGAGACCGGAGCTGTAAAGGGGGGGGGGGGATGTTGGGGGAGGAAGAGGGAGCCTGGCGGTGGGGGTCACTCATCCACATCTGTTGTTATGGGTGGAAGGATAAAGAAAAGGCTCAGCGAGGGCTGCAGGTGTTGATTGTGTCATTAGCTCCCTCTCTATTGGCTGCTGCTAGTTGTCTCCTCCTTATCCCCAAATCGATTGCTTTAACCAGTTTTCACTGGATGGCCACTGACTCCTCAGTACACCCCCCCACACACACACACACACACACACACACACACACACACACACACACACACCCCTCACCCCAACACACAAAACATACACACACACACATGAAAACCTCAGCACAACAACAGTATGTCGAGGGATCATCTCTGTGATTGCCTCCCGCTGAAATTCTTATTTGTGAGGGGTAGAGAAAACAGTGAGAGTACAGCCGACCTCTGCCCCTAAATGTCTGGACTGCTCTTTATAAACACCGGTTTCAGAGAGTCTTCTCCGCCTCTTTCTCCTCTACTACCCTCTCCTTGCTTAATTCATCCGTCTTTCCTCAAAACGTGTCTTACAGATCGTAAATTGGAGCAGCTGAGTTTGAAATACTGTTCACAACTTCAGCCTCCTCGTCGAGTGCGACGTAGGAGACAGACCATCGCCTAGCTGTTGCATCTAAATACAATCCAATAGGAACACTAATACAGTCAATTCAGCTAATTCAAAAGGAGCAGCACACTGTTTGTTTCTTATCTGGTTTCACTTGTTAACAAACTTCTATGATAATACAACAAAACAAAAGACTAATTAAAGCAGGTATGCCTACGAGGCCAGCAAGGGCAGTAATCATCTTGGAATAATGCATCGACAGTCTCAAGTCAGAGTGACGGGAGGTTTCCTGTTCCTCCCATTCCTCCGACATTGCAGCATATTCAAATCCATTTGTAGTGGAACAGAAAATCGGATATATTCTGCAAATGCAGATCGCCTACTGATGGCTTCCTTGGATACCCTGAAAAAAAGAAAACTCTATCAGTCTTATCTCAACTCTTTCTGCGGTTGAAAACTACTTGAAAAGGTTCACGTTAGAAGAATTAAGGTTTGGTCCCTTCACCTTTTAATAACCAAATTTAATTAATTAATTTTAAAGCAGTTGGTGCAATCAGTGGATTTTGCTTTTGGAGGCAAAGTAAACCTGAGCAGAGCTTGCCGAACGAATTGGCATCTTTCGGCAAATCTGAGAATCCAGAAGAGAAGAAGCTATCGCGTCACGTCTCGTGTCGTTTTATTTGACCTCTGCTCCACAAAGGAGATGCAGCGTGGTCTGCAGTCAGCTGCGAGACATGTGTAGAAGTAACAGGATTACCGGTTACAGACAAAAAGCGTGAGTATTCGCTACATCACCAAGCTTCCAGCGAAACCCATTTTGCAACAATGTGTGGATTAATTTTGCACTGCCACTTAAACTGTGGGATTGGGCACTCTGTCTTTGGCTGTCCAGAAGGTCTCTGAAGTCTCCACCGTGTACCTCAATGCAGGAATTTCCTCCACCTGCATGTGTGAACATCTTAACAACACACGTATTTGAATTGTTGGCTCCTCTTAAGCCGTCACTGTGTTTCTATTTATTAGTCCAAAGGGAGTATTCCTGATTTACATGGCACAGTGGTGCTGTTGTTTTCTCCTGCTCGCTGGATGCGTTGCTGCTACCAGGAGAACAGCTGATGCTTGAGTCAAGGTAATAAAGACAACTGGAGGGGTTGTGTTTCTCCGCCTCCATTCTGTGATTGCAGCGTTTTACCCCATTAAGAGGAGCCTGTTCTGATAAGAAGCAGCATAGTCGACTCTCTGAAACTTTTCTTTGGACTCATTCTCTGTCTGCCTCCTTATCTCCAGCTGTTTCCATCTCTGTCTTGATGTCCATGTATATTTCCTTCTCTCCTTACTCCTCACACAGGATTATCATGTAGACCTGCGGCTGGCAGCCCGTATGTCTGTCTCTCTGTGTCTTTTGTTTGGAAAAGCACATTGTAACCACTGGCTTTGTCAGACCACAGTTAATTGCAAACAATTTTCATGATGGCATTTAATTTTAGTAATTGTCTTCTTCTGGACGGCTGGTCGCTAATCCCTTCCTCCTCTGTTCTGGATACAACGTGTGTGTGCGTGTGTGCTGACAGTGCCAGCTCATATTTTCTTTGCCTTGTTTCTCACTTGAATGAATGAAAAAAAAGAGTTTGCATGACCCCAAGCTGCAATTTAAATCTCCTCCTGTGACTTCAAAGTAAGAGCAGTTTAGGTTTTCTCCTACACAGAGTTGTTTGGCTCAAATACCATCGGTTACTACCCATAATACCATAAAGAGCTTCCCATGATGAGATGATTAGATTGAAATGATTAGATAATTGGATAGAACATTTACTATTACAAGAGTGTGCAGAGTACAAGATTTCTCGCAGATTGCTGTTGCTAATTAACTGCGAATTTTGACTTCCCAGATCATTTCTAATGATTAGTGTCTCCAAAAAGGAAGAGACAACAACTATGACAAGAGCTTTTTTCTGGAAATGTGGGTGGGATTGTCAAATCAGAGATAGCAATGGTCCCATCCAGACTTTGCCTGGATTCAGTCCCAGTGATACATAAGATGGTGCACTCGATGGGAATGGATTTTTTTTTCCCTGATTGCACCCTGGAAATCATTAGTACAACATTAGAGTGATTCTGCCTGCTAATCCAACACCTTTTCACACCTAAGGGCTCGGTTGTAACTCTACAGAGGAACGAGTCCTGCATCAACCACCTAAAATGATATGAGAATAATGAAAGTCTTGGTTTCTGCATTTAGTCTCATCCACCAGCGATCCTGTTTCAGATTATGCAGAGCAACCGAGAGAATGAGATTTTCCTGCGTGGCTCAGACAGAAGCAGGTCAGCTGCTCAAACCGCAATATATTTCAGACTTCACAGGCCGTGAGATGTTAGATCACCTTCCCCCCCCCCCGCACATGTACCTGGTTGTGTCTTTTCGGGCAACAAACTGTAACCTACGTTCCGTTTCATTTCCCTGAGAGCTGATTGGATTTGCGATGGCCGAGCCTTTTCACCGCGGCCCGTGGCTGACGGAGCAGCAATCTTTTTGACACCGACCGATGGATATGATAATGTACACTGGCTTTATTGTCAAGTGACAGAAGGGCAGCGCGACACGCGCACCATATGTGTTCACTGCCGCTTTTGAACAGTCCCTCTCTGTTCCTTCAGCGCCCTCCTTGTCTAGAGGGGACCCCAGTGTTCACTGAACGCCTCGGGGCACCAACTCTGTCTTTTAATCTTTAAATACTTTACCAACACATTTCTATTGTAGTTCACATGCTTTGAGCGGTTGGTATCATGTGCCGACGGGTTGAAATATCTTTTTTACTTTCAGGACACCCATTGTTTCCCTCTTGTTTTTCTTGGTGTCCTCCAATAGCACAAACAGCTCAAAGGAACATGAGCGAAAGTGCAGATCAGTGATCAGGGATGTTTTATAATAACCATATTTAGGAGATGATAGCACTGAACCATGAAAATCAAACAACTTGTTCAGTGAAAAATGACCAACATATAACAGGATGCTAGTGAGCAATTCTCTGACACTTATGGGCAATCAGCTAATATTTTCTGCTCGATTTCGCAGTCCGTCAAATCAAGTGTCACGGCTGTCCCCGACATCAGCACAAAGAACGAGTGTAACAGTTTATGTGCGCCTTTAAATGACAGCAAGAATGAGTTCAGCAGTTCTTTTTTTAATATGTATAAGCTGTCCATGAAATCAATATCTTGAAGAAGTAGAAGTCCTTAATGTGGACCGGCTTAGCAGGTACTTCATTTCAGTGCAGTAATTAAGGGCCCATTTGGAGTGGGGCCTAGTGGCCCCTGTTGCCCTGAAGGAGTGGGATTGGTCTCATTAACTAATATGAGAACGGCTGATTGGGCAGTAAGTAACATAATCACAGCTCATTGGTCAATAACTTGCAGGTCACCAGGGCAGATTGAGAGGAGCATTTGGTGACCCGTCCTTCCTGGATAAAAGCTCTCTGGAGGACTGGCGGACTGTGTGGAGGCCAACGTGAATCTGAGTGCTGAGGGTTCCTGTTTTTACAGGGCTTTTTAATAGGGCTTTGTATCCAATCACTGGGTCTATAGCTATCAGAATTGAAAACCGGAAAGTAGAGCTGAAATACCTTGTCCATGAATGAAAAGGCAATTAAATTAAATACGTTTTAAGGAAAAATGCTAAGTGAATGTATGCTGGTTTCTCTATGATAGTAAACTAAATATTGTTGGGTCTATGACAGTTTGTTAAACGAAGCAAGCTATTTAAATATGTAAACTTGGGCTTTGGAAAATTGTGATGGGACCCATTTTACCAAACAATTAATCAAAACAATAAGGTACATCAAGAATGAAAATGATTGTGAGTTGTAGCTATGTGAGTTTACGTTATCGACTTATTGTACGATATTCGTACATGACCTCAATATTTAATGTTATCACCTTCTTGTACGATATATGGACATGACCTCGCTCATTTTTACGCTATCAACTTATTGTACGATGTATGGACAAGACCTGAATCACTTTTTTACGCTATTGACTTATCGTAAGATATATGGACATGACCTCGATCAATTTCACGTTATCGACTTATTGTACGAGATATGGACATGAACTCGATCCTTTTTAATTTTTCGACTTATTGTACGATATCTGGACAAGACCTCGATCCTTTTTACTTTATCGACTTATTGTACGATATATTGACATGACCTCTTTGATCGTTTTTGCTGAGCTCATAATTGGCCCTGGTGTTTACATGCGTTTGTTGACACAGAACACCAGAATAAACAGCAGTGCTTTTCCGACCATTTCCAAAAATTTTGCATTCTGCAAAAAAGCAGATTCCCAGATGTCACTCTTACTTTTAAGACATTTATTGAATCAGTACATCCAGCTTGTGCTCTGCTCTCAACAGACTGTCTTCCAATCTATTTTATTTCTGCAAAGTTCTTGTTTGGCTGCTTATGACAATGTACTATTTAACGTTGCTGTCACATTTGGACTTGTGGTTTAATAAATATAACTAACAAATGATACTGATACCAGTGTGCGGTGAGTCATTTTACCTTCTTGAGCATACAAAAAGGTGCACTTGTGAATGCCGTTTCAGAGATGAATGGCTTGCATTGAAAAATGTGTTTGTATTACTTAATAAAAGGGTATTTATACCTTCATCCTATTCATATTACTTTATTTGTTGTACCTCCATCAGTGCACTTAAACCACTTTCCCTCAGCACACTAACTTGTCTTCATTTAAAACCATCTCCACATCAGTAATACACAAAACAGGAACATACCATGTCTCTGGATCCACAGTGTCTAACTCGCTCTCTCGTCCTGTGTGCACAGTGTATTCTGGGATCTGTACTGCGCTGCCCCGGACCGGAGGGAGACATGTGAACATTCCAGCGAGGCCAAGGCTTTCCATGACTATGTAAGTGAACTTAACCAACCCTCCAGTTGTGTACTAGCATGGGCACAAATGCAGTTTGCACACATTCACCACTTGGACACACATGCTTGTGTGAGCACATGCAAGCACACACACAGGGTGTGCATCAGAGAGATGGGACTATTCTGTCTGTGATAATGCTGCTGGTTCTTGTTTTGACATGTCTGGTCGGCCTGCTGCAGCCTTATGTTTTGCATGGGACAGCCTCTGAGCCAGACGTCTGACGTAGCATGCTTTTAAAAAGGCAACACCTATGAACACCAGTTCTATATTCTATATTCAAAGACTTCCGCCTTTGAATTTTTAAAGTCTAATCGAGAGTCTTCATGCCATTTCTGCCACATTTCACATGATCGAGCTTGGTTAGCTATCTCTTTTTTGCAACCCTGTAGCTCAGCTGCTGGCAGCACTTCCTCAAACGTCGACCCCTGACCCCTCAGGTCTCAGCCAAACTGTCGAGCCTGTAGGTGAAAGGTCACAGCACTGCCTGGCTATTTATTGGTCCACTCAAGGCTTCAGCAAAGGTCACAGCACATAAAGCAGCTGGCTGATCACACAAGCACATTAACACACACACATTCACAAACAATACATATACACGTAGGACACATTTAGAGCTGGACAGGCGACTCTAGTTGTGGCTGTAGGGGGCCGGACGGGCGATGAAAGGTCAGGGTCTGCGGCCCTCTTGACCCTCTCATCTTCTGAAGAGTCGGTGCAGTCGATCAGTAACCTATTGAACACACGCACACACACACAAGCTGGGTGAGAGCGGATCGACTACAATTGAAAGTCTTTGTTGGCCCAGCTCGTATTATAGCAAATGACCGTTTTGATGTGTGATTGTGGCCCTCACAGACTGACTCCCTCTCTGTCAGTTTGGGTTTTAAAATAGATTTCTGTCTTCCTTTTTGGCTTGTCCACACTACATGTTGCCCGAGACGTATTTGAATAAGGATTACACAGGCGTTAGGATGTCGACTGGACAGACGGCTTCACCCACTAGATTATCGTTCCACCTGGGCAGCAGTGAAACCTGAAATGGATTAGAGGCGCTATTCTCACCATTTCAATCAGGCTGTTTCAGCCCACAGCCATTCACACATTCAGTTGAACCCTCTTATGAGGTTTGACAGCAAAAGTGTGAGCACTTGTCAGCTGAACAGATTACATTTGTTGTGCATGTACTACGCATGTGTGTGCGGGGCACGAGTCGATGTGCACGTACTCCCCTCCTGTCTGTGTGCGTGTGTGCATGCGTCGGACCACCATAAGATTAATTACATGGTTAATTAAACCTAGTAGTTAATTAAATCTGACAACTGTGTCTAATTAATCTAAATGCAATATAATTTCCTACACCTTTCTCCAGAGGTAGGCCAGCTGGATACCTGCATATCAGCTCTTTAACGGCTCCGGTTTGACAGGCCTGGTCAATATATGGCTGAAGCTTCAAATTCTGCTGCCGTAAAAAAAAGACACATTTAAAAAAAAAAAAAGTGTTTCACTCTCCGGCTGCGTAAATCAGTCAGGGTCACTGATGCTGCTGTATATTTGACAGAACAAAACAAATACTTAAACTGCTCTGTTGGAAGTGATATATTGTAGTAAATGAGGACGCTATGAGGTCTTGTGAGCTCGTTTTTAACAGACAAACAAACGTTCAAGAAATCAGACAGTGTTGTTCAATCTTTGACCCGGCTCAAGTTCAGGAGGTTGGAGTGTGTGAGCTGTCTGTCTGTCTGTCTGTCTGTCTGAGAGGGCAAATCTGTTGACACTTTAGATAAAAACATGATTCATTAAAGCATTAGTTGTGAGACTTTACCTCCTTAAGATACAGTTATAATATTCTAAAATGTCTTGGATGTCTTGTGCATCTTTTTTTATACACCTTAATCCTGATTCATGTATTTGCTCTCTTTGGGAAACTTAAAATAAAGTGATGCATCTCTAAGCACTGTTTGGCTGCACATCATGAGTTAGTAATGACTGACCCAGGGGGCCACTGCTTTTGAGTGATGCTATTTAATAATAAAGGAATATTGTACTTTTTCCTCCTTTTTGATTGTAAATGCTGGAACATTTTAAGATTCACCCCGAAGTGACAGTCGACCGTTAAGTGTGTGTGCATGCTCAGCGGGTGTAGCAGAGGCTCTGACAACAGTAAAATGCTGTTTGTGTGTGTGAGCAAACATGCTTTTGTGACTGTTACCGAGTGTGAGTGTGTGTGTGTGTGTGTGTGTGTGTGTGTGTGTGAGTGTGAGTGTGTGTGAGTGTGTGTGTCTTTGTGTCTTTGTGTGACAGAGAGAGGAAAAGAGAGTGTCAGGGTCGAAGCGTGTGAATCCCCAGGGTGATGAGGGGTCTGTCTGTCTCTGATTAACTCTGGCTCCTCGGTCCCCATAGACCGACGGCCTGATCAAGTCTCTATCGCGGCCCCTTGCTGATAACGGCTCCCTCATTCCCGCTGGTCCCCCCGGATCACAGAGTGAAAAACAACACGGCTCCCGGGAGTCGCACGCGCTCCTCTATGTGTGTCGTTCTACAGAAAGAGGAATGTGTGCGAGATAAAGCGGGATTGGTTTTGATTTTATTAACGTTTTATTTCTCTTATAATTTATGGCCTCCGCTATGGCGACGCCAGTTTGTTCTCTCAACGTTGCTGTGCTATAAAACTGATATTTAGAAAGGCAGTTTGCTTATTTGTTTCCTGGAGCCAATGTGGTTGCTAGGCAACATTGAGCCCGTTTACAGTGTTGGTTACAGATTTGGTTTTGGCTCCGCTCAGTTTGGCTCCATTTGGCCCGGTTTGAAGGCACCTCTTACTCAGCCCTGTCCTACTGGCCCCCATTGTGAGCGATGATGTAGACTTTGTGGACTCTCCAGTTTGGGAAAGATAATGGTATATAATGTGCTAATCCTCAGGTCTGGAGACTGGTTGACAGCTAATCCAGGGGAATGTGGTGGGATTGGAGCCCTGGCCGCACTCCCAGAACTCTGACTGGCTGGATCGCTGCTTGGCTTCACCCCTGGATGGCGATCCTGCTATCATAGCCACTCGAAACTCGCGCGTAAACACTCACACATGCAGGCACGCTTACGTTCGTATCACATACCCACACTTGCATGCAAAAACCCCCCAAAAAAATACACACACACTCAAAGTAAGCGAGATGATACGGTATCATAAAGAGCTGGAACACTCTTGTACCTCTGTAAAGTAATTTAAGTGGTCTCTCTTGTTGTCCTAATTGTTGGAGTTGTGTTTCTGTCCTTCCTCTTCACGTTGCCGTTTCATCATGTATATTTCTTAAAAGAGATCCGCGCGTCTTACGGTCCTCTTTTCTGCTGGAATTTGGATGTTCCTCAAAAGAGCACTTTGTTGAGGAAACGTGTTTGATTATCAGAACATGGCATGTCTTTAGTAACTCAATATTAATGATTAAAGGACGGGAGCTTTTGTGATGAAGAAAGCATACATATTGACGAGCGACGAGGCACGCTTCTTCACACACACATTCTTGCTCACATTAAAGCAGACAGAAGAATGAGTCTCTGTTTTCTCTTTCGCTGCACACACACACACACACAGACACACACAAACACAAACTCATGCACACACTTGCAATCACAGACAAACAGTCTTTCAGGAGGCGATACACCCGGCCTTGTTGTAGCAGACATTTTGCTTTGCCCCAGCCAGAGCTCGCAACCCAGAACATCTGCGATTCATGCCAATCCGGGTTCACCGCCTGCGGAGTGTCACAGATTTAGTGCCACAAGTGCGTCATTCATGTCGCAGAGCTTCACGGACTCCACTCAGCTCTCCGCTGGTTGACGAGAACTGTCATGACGGTTGGGATAGAAGAGTCAAATAAGGGTATCTGGATATGACACAGGAAAAACTGGAGTAAATACATTTGGTGAATTTGTTCTGAAATGGTTATAAAATTATAATTATTTGGTTGTTTGAGTCAGGCAAAAATGCCAGAAATTCACTGGTTCCAGCTTCCCAAATGAGAGCGCTCACAGTGTGTCTGTTTTATATCTTTGTAAATTGACAAATTCAGTATTTTAGACAAAACTTTGGACAAAGTGAGCTGTCTTAACTGGGGCTGGGCGGTAAATCGATATGATAATTAGTCATCTTTCAATGGAATTATATTGTGATGAAATCGCATCGAGACATCGTGATACAAAATTACGACAGAATTGCAAGCATATGCTAACTTTAATTACTCAGGAAATCTGATCAAACTGAGTTCAATCAAACCGTTGTCTTAATCTGATAACTTGGTTACACTGATTTGTGTATGCATGTAATAATAGTCAAGAGTAGAGCTTGAAATATTTATTCATTTTTTTCTCCATAATTTCACTTGAAAGTGTTCACTTTGCACTCGAGTTCTTAATGAAATTAGAAAATACAAAAAAATAGGCTTTACCATAAGGTTAATTTATATCGACGATATATTTTATATATAACCAGAAAACATTGTATATGGTGATTTATATCGAGATATGAATCGAGCTATACTGGACACATCGCCCTAATCTGAACACGCCATATTGGGCTCTGCCAAAATGTATTGGGTGCGGATATTTGTAGACTAAATGATAACTAAATGAATTTAGGGCCGCAACCAACAGTCATATCCATCATCTACAAATCACTGCCCATCACGATTTCCCAGACACCGAGTGGTGATGACGTCTACAAATGTCTTGTTTTGTCACACCAAAACCCAAAGATATTCAGTTCACCGTCATATAAGACCACAGATGGAGTAAATCTCCACATTTGATATGCTGGCACAAGCTGTTGACTATTTTCTGTTCATCGACCAATTGATGAAACTGCTAATTGTTTCAGCTCTGAATAAATGACTGTAAAGGAAAAACAATGGGAAGAAGTGGAAGCCTTTAATCTGGTCTGTTCCCAGCGTGCAGTGTGCAGACGGAGAGGTAGACGGAGGTTCTCTGTT